TAATGACAGAAATGGAAAGATATCCCATGCACATGGATTGGAAGAATAAACATAGTTAAAATGTCTATATTACCTAAAGCAATCTACAGATTCAACGCAGTCCCAATCAGAATCCCAATGACATTCTTCATGGAAATAGAAAAAAGAATATTAAAGTTCATATGGGGCAACAAAAGACCCCGAATAGCTAAAGAAATCCTCAGAAAAAAGAACAAAACTGGAGTCTTCACAATCCCTGACTTCAAAACATACTACAAAGCAATAGTAATCAAAACAGTATAGTACTGGTACAAAAACAGACACAGATCAATGGAACAGAGTTGAAAGCCCAAAAATAAAACCACACGTATACGGACAGTTAATTTTCGACAAAGGAGCTAAGAACATACAACAGAGAAAGGAAAAGTCTCTTCAATAAATGGTGTTGGGAAAACTGGACAGCCACATGCAAAAGAATGAAAGTGGACCATCTGCTATCGCCATTCACAAAAATTAACTCAAAATGGATCAAAGACCTGAAGGTGAGACCTGAAACTATAAAACTCAGAAGAAAATATAGGCAACACTATTTGACGTTGGTCATAAAGGAATCTTTTCGGATGCCATGCCTACTCAGACTAGGGAAACTAAAGCAAAAATAAGCAAGTGGGACTTTATCAGATTAAAGAGCTTCTACAAGACGAAACCAGGATCAAAATGAATAGACAACCCACCAGCTGGGAGAAAATATTTGCAAAACATATATCTGACAAGGGGTTAATCTCCGTAATGTATAAAGAGCTCACACAACTGAACAACAAAAAACAAACAACCCGATCAAAAAATGGGCAGAGGAAACGAACAGACACTTCTCCAAAGAAGATATACAGATGGCCAATAGGCATATGAAAAGATGTTCAGCATCATTAATCATCAGGGAAATGCAGATCAAAACAATGCTAAGATATCACCTCATGCCCGTTAGAATGGCTATAATCACCAAGACAAAAAATAACAAATGTTGGAGAGGATGTGGAGAAACAGGAACCCTCATACACAGCTGGTGGGAATGCAAACTGGTGCAGCCTCTATGGAAAATGGTATGGAGATTCCTCAAAGAATTAAAAATAGAAATACCCTATAATCCAGCTATCCCACTACTGGGAATCTATCCAACGAACCTGAAATCAACAATCCAAAGAAATCAACAATCCAAAGAGGCTTATGCACCCCTATGTTCACCGCAGCATTATTCATTATTCTGCAGCCAAGAAGTGGAAGCAACCCAAGTGTCCCTCAACTGATGATTGGATTGAGAAGATGTGATATATATATACAATGGAATACTACTCAGCCATAAAAAAGACAAAATTGTCCCATTTGCAACAACATGGATGGACCTGGAGGTTATTATGTTAAGTGAAATAAGCCAGAAAGAGAAAAACAAACACTGTATGATCTCACTCATATGTGGAATATAAACCAATACATGGACAGGGAAAACTGTATTGTGGTTGCCAGGGGCAAAGGGGGTGGAGGGTGGGCACAAGGCGTGAAGGGAGATATGTATATGGTGATTGACAAACAAAAATGTACAACCAAAATTTCACAATGTTATAAACTATTAAGACATCAATAAAAAAAAAAAAAAGAAAAAAAGAACCTATACTAAAGTAAGACAGACTAAAAAAAAAAAAAGAAAACAAATTTGTAGTTTAAAACCTTATCACAGAGGAAATTCCAGGCCCTTATGGCTTCACTAGTGAATTCTACCAAACATTTAAGGAAAAAAAAAAAAAAACAATTCTACATTAATTATTCCAGGAAATAGAAGTGGAAGAAACACTTCCCAACGTGTTTTATAACGTTGGGAAGCATTATTCCCGTACTAAAACTTGAAAAAGGCATTTCAAGAAAACTATAGGCCAATATCCTTTATGATCATAAATGTAAAAATCCTTAGCAAAATATTAACAGATCAAATCCAACAATATTTGGAAAGGATAATACGTTATGACCAAGTGGCATTTATCCTAGAAATGCAAGATTGGTTTAACATTAGAAGATTCACCATATTCACAGACTAGAAAAGAAAAATTAAACAATAATCTCAAAAAATGCAGGAAAAGCTTTTCACATAATACAGCATACATTCATGACGAAAGCTTTTGGTAAACTAGGAATGGAAGGGAACTTCCTCAATATGATAAAGGACCTCAACAAAATATTACAGCTAACATACTTAATGGTGAAAGACTTGATGCTTTCCCCCTAAGATTGGAAAAAAGGCCAGATTGGCCACTCTCACTACTTTAATATTTTACTGGATGGTCCACGCCAGTGCAATAAGGCAAGGAAATAAAATAAAAGGCACAGAGATTGAAAAGGAAGAAGGAAAAACAGTGTTCATTCATAGATGATGTGATTGTCTATGTAGAAAATCCCAAGAGTCTACAAAAAAGCTACTAGAACTAATAAGTGATTTTAGAAAGGTTGTAGGATACAAAGTCATATATAGAAATTAACTGTATTTTTATATAATAGCAACAAACAATTGGGAACTTAAGGAAACTATCATTTACAATATCAAAAAAACTATATACTTAGGGATAAATTTAATGGAATATGTGCAATGCCCATATGCTGAAAACTATAAAACATTGCTAACATAAATTAAAGAACACCTAAATTAGTGGGGAAATATATCACACTCATGGATTGTAAGACTCAATATTGTTAGAATGTCACTTCTCAGATTCATCTCTAGATTCATGGCATTCCCCATCAAAATCCCAGCAGACTTTTCTGTAGAAATTGACAAACTGATTCTAAAATTTACACGGGAAATGCAAAGGGGATAGGATAGTAAAAACTGTTTTGAAAAAAGACAAAAAGTATAGGATTTATGTTACCTGATTTCAATAATTACTATACAGTAATCAAGAAAGTGTGTCATTGGTGTAAATGTAGACATGTTAGATTAATGGAACAAAATAGCCCAGAAATAGACCCATACATATATACTTGTTGATTTTCTGCAAAGGTGCCAAAATAATTCCATGTGGAAAAAGATAGTATTTTTAATAAATGGTGCTGGAAAAAGTATCTATATGCAAAATATGAATCTCAATCCTTATCTTACACAGTATACAAAAATTAACTTGAAATGATCCATAGACCTAAATGTAAGAACTAAAACCATAAAGCTTCTAGACAAAAACATAGGAGCAAATCTTCATAACTTAGGAATAGACAAAGATATCTTAGGACACAAAAAGCATGAACCACTAAAGAAAAAATGATAAATTGGACTTCACTGAAATTAAAATCGTTTGCTCTTCCAAGATCCTGTTAAGAAGATGAAAAAGGAAGTCATAGACTGGGAGAAAATATCTGTGAAATATACATCTGATAAAGAACTTGTACCCAGAATATATAAAGAATTCTTTCTTTCGATAAGACAAATCGATAAGACAAAAAACAACCTAATGATTAAAAAATAGGCAAGATTTGGACAGATACTTAAAGAAGATATGAATATTAATTAAGCACTTGAAAATATGCTCAGAATCTTTAGTCATCAGAGAAATCGTAACTAAAACCCCAAGGAGATACCACTACACACCACTAGCACGGCTAAAAGTAAAAAGGCTAGAAATATTAAATATTGATGAGAATGTGGAGCAACTAGAACTTTCTCACACATTGCTGGTGTATGTCTATATTCAGATGTTTAAAACAAATAGTCGTTTCATATACAAAGGAACATTTCTCTATAATTCCAAAAATTGGAATCTATTTCCATGATGCCTTCACATTTCCTCTTTCTCTAAAAGCCAACTTGGATGACTAATAGTTATAGGACTTCTATACTCTCAGCAAACTGGTATGAAATACAGATTAGAGGAAATTTGAAATATTCAGTGTACGGTATAGACTAGGATGTTCTGCTTATAAGCCTGAATTTTCATTAGATAGGCTATAACTAAAATTCTTTGTGGTAACTGCCATTTTCATCTAAGCATTTAAAAATACTTCCTTTTTTCAAGATTTTTTTTTAATGAAAATGCTTGGTAGTGAAGAAGCCGATTTTGGAGTCTCCATAATTTTGAAAATATTCGTTTGTCCTTACGTAACATTTCCTAACAGTTCTTTCCCAGATGTAGAAAATTCTGAATGTGATTTTTTTTAGATTAAGATCTTTGTGTTTTATTGAACAATACAAAAAGTAATTTTTGTGTTTAAATCATCTTGGCTCAATTTATGGTTTTAGAGTAGACTGGGAAGAAGGTTTGTGGCAGAATTATAATCACTAGCCCATATATCCATTTGTTAAGCCCATTGCTGGGATAGGGGCTGTAGAGACTATTGAATGTACAGACCCATGGAATACTTTCCTGTCAGAATCATTTTCAACAGGGGAGCAAAAGACTAGATTTTTAAAAATTTTATCTGTCGTTAAGTTTTTGCTTAGGATAATGGTTGGAACTCTGAATAATATGTTATAATTTTATGCTCCAAGAAATAAAAGAATTAGGCTTAAATAAGATGGATGAAACGTGTTCTTTTGGAACATTTAATTACTTTACGCTTTGTAGATTCAAGCAATCTGAGGAATGAGTTTTGTTGGAATTCAGAAATAGGCAGCTTGCTAATTGCAATATAAAGCTAAATGAATGCATTTATTCTTTATAGCTCTATTGAAGGACTTAAGTTTAATAATGTCGTTCTTGCAAAAATATACCAGTTCTCGCTAAATGAAACCAAAGAAATATCTAAAACACAGGAAAGAAATACTGTACTTTACATGTAGTTGTACTATGTCAAAGTGAGTTTCTCACATAAGTAATCTATCTTATGATTATGTATATGCACAGGTAAAAATTAGATTTTTAATTCATTTTGGAATTTTTAGTAAGTATTTGAAAAAGTCAATGTTATATTTAGTGCAAATTAATTGAATGAAACCATACACCTGTCTTGTTTGAGGTATTAATAGTTCTGCTACTTTCTTCCTTAAGCATATGTTCAGAAATACTTTATATCTGTGGGTGGACTGGATGTATTGTCTCAAGTTCTTGTGCAACTGGAATTGGATTCACACAAGACTGTTTCTAGTGCTAAGCTTGCAGTGGTGGTGACAAAAACAGTGGATGCGTGTATTGCTGATAATCGTGAGTGAAAATGCCTAGTAATTTTTCTACAATTGCATTTTGTTTGAATTCAGCATAGTGAGTGTCAAAATGATAGATTGAACACTAACATGGATTGGACTTCCAGTTTCTCACAAGTGGAAGAGAATCTGAGGAGTTATCTAGTCCAGCTCCTTATTTTCCCATGGAGATTATGACTTCCCTAAGGGTTCAAATCTAGGTCTTCTGACTTTAAGTCTAATGATAGACTCAAGATAAGATCCTATCATTCCTAAATCTTTGTTTCACTTAAAAAGCAGCATTAAATTAAAAAATTTAGATGAGAAATCCAGGGACGTTTTGGAGACATAAGGAATGGAAAGCCCAATTTATAGATTTTTTAGGATTATATAAAGTATTAAGGTATGCCTCTTTATGATAGGTATGAGGTTTGACTTAGATAATGCACCATAACTAATGAGTGGCCGAACCAGACTTGAACCCATGGCTGCTTCTCACATGCACAAACACTAAGGAATAATAGTCTGTGAATCTTTGTAATAAGCAACTCTTTTTTTTTTTTTTTTTTGGTGAGGAAGATTAGCCCTGAGCAAACATCTGCTGCCAGTCCTCCTCTTTTTTGCTGAGGAAGGTTGGCCCCGAGCTAACATCTGTGCCTATCTTCCTCTACTTTATATGGGACACTGTCACAGCATGGCCTAACAAGCAATGCATCTGTCCGCGCCCAGGATCCGAACCCCTGAATCCTGGGCCGCCGAAGCGGAGCACACGAACTTAACCACTACACCACCAGGCCAGCCCCTGTAATAAGCAACTTTTGACATACACAAATAACTGAAAAAGTAGATGATTTAAAAAAATCAGGGCCCGCCCCGTGGCTTGGCGGTTGAATGCGCGTGCTCCGCTGCTGGCGCCCGGGTTCGGATCCCGGGCGCGCACTGACGTACTGCTTGTCCGGCCATGCTGGGGCCGCGTCCCACGTGCAGCGACTAGAAGGATGTGCGACTATGATATACAACTATCTGCTGGGGCTTTGCGGGGGAAAAATAAATAAATAAAATCTTTAAAAAAAAAATCAATTATTGAGGGCCTGTTATGTGTTGGGCTCTATGTGAGCTCTAGAGATACCAAAATGATTAAGATATAGTCCCTTGAGGAATTCACAGCCTTATTATTGATATCAATATTGTTAGACTCTGGATGAACTCCATTAAAAGCCCCATGAGGAGAAGTATAGCTTAAAATGGCGGACTTCTTGAATTTTGTCACATTTCAGCGTAGCTTCAGGTATGCTTCATTACATCATTAACATCCGTAGAACCATGGCCAGTTAATAGTGTATTTCAGTGATGGACAGGAACTGGTTACATAGGAAGGTCTTTGCTGTCCAATCTAGATGAGAAGATGTGTGTAAGGTGAGATTCAGCATATTCAACTTTTAGGAAGGTAGTATTATTACTTCATATTCACAACATTATGCAGGACAATTAAGAAGAAACAATTCTTCAAAAAATTTGCTTTAGTAAAATGTCTTTAATATGGAAAGAGGGATTAATGAGGGCTATATAAGCCACCATCTTACTACAACACATTTATTTATATTCACACATATACACACACATATGTTAGATGTTATATGAGATATGAATATTAGAACTTGTATAGATATATAATATTCTCTCAGGATAAAATCTGAAAAATAGTATATGTATAGTTGTAAGTTTTAAGTTTGTACTTACTTTTTTTTTTTATTTCTGTTTTGTACTAATAGCTACTTTTGGGGTAGTATTATCCAAATACCACATTGTTTCGAAACTTCTGGCATTACTGCTTCATGAAAGTCTGGATTCAGGAGAAAAATTTAGCATCATACTTACTCTTGGTCATTGCACAGAGGATTGTGGTAAGTATTGGATTTATTTAATGTTCTTATTAAAACAGTGGAGTGGAAATACACTTTTGTTTTTTTCCCCCTAGTTGTATGAAAGGCTATACTGCCTTTCTCCCAGTCATTCAGGCCCCAAACCAGTCATTTTGCTCCCCTTCCTTCTTCATCCATTGAATGCAGTCAGTCATTAAGACCTGTGGTTCTACTTCTGTTTACCTCTCTTTATCCCTTTCTGCCTAATTCCAGTGCTACCTTCCCGATTTAGGCCCTCACCTCATCAACATCTTTCACCAGTGTTATTGCAATAGCTTCCTCCCTGTGTTCCCTTCCTTCTGTCTCTGTTTTTCAATCCACTCTTCGTACTGCTGGATAGATCTGAGACTGTTCTCCCTTGCTGAAAACCTTTTAAAAGTTCTGTCTGTCTTTCTCTGCCTATCATTCTCTCCTCTCTCTTTTTTCTCTTCCTCTTCCATTTTCCTCGCTCTCTCCAATCTCCTCCCACTCTCCCTCTGCCCACTTTCCTCCTCCTTTCTGACCCTCTCTACTTTTTCTCTCTCTCCCATTGTCTCTTCTTTGAATCTCCTCCCTCCCATTTTTCCACCCTCCTCTCTGCTCTCTTCCTTCCTTCATTTTCCATTCCCTTTACCAGTTTATTTCTCTATTCTTTTTCTTAACCTTTGTACGATTTAGGATTTACTATACCTTTTTTAAAAACAAGTGAGGGCAGTTTGTTTACTTTTATGAGGTATGACACTATTCTGTGGCTGTTTCAGAGATCATCACTTTTGAGACAGGTATTTTATATAAGTGGATTTTTTTCTAAATTGAAAATTCTTTGAAACTATTGTTTTTCTCTATTTTTAAAATTTGAACTATGTTAGTAATTATCACAAGGAGGAATTTTGACCTCATGCAAATAGTTTTTGATAAAATAACTATCTTCTACTTTAATTTTTGATGTTTTCCAGAAGAAAATCAGTATGACCTTTTTAAAAACAATGGGCTTCCACTCATGATACAAGCTTTAACTGAATCTCAGAATGAGGAATTAAACAAAGCTGCAACTTTTGTGCTTCACAACTGCAAAAAAATTAGTAAGTTTTCTGTTACTTTAAGAAAATACCAGCAGGGCCGGCTCCGTGGCTTAGCGGTTAAGTGTGCGCGCTCTGATGCTGGCGGCCCGGGTTCGGATCCCGGGAGCGCCCCGAGGCACCACTTCTCCGTCCAACGTGAGGCCGAGTCCCACGTACA